CGCCTATCCTTTCTCCTGCTTCCTTATTGGCTATTGGGTTCTTTATTAGACCATCAGGTGTTTTTTTTTCTTCCCCCCCTGAGGACTAAACCCAGGGCCTTGTGCTTGCTAGGCAAGTGCTCTACCACTGAGCTAAATTCCCAACCCCAACCATCAGGTGTTTTAGATAGGCACAGTAACACAGCTTCACAGAATTAAACAAATGCAACATAAAAAAGTGACACACCTTAAAATAACATTCTACTACATCAGATAGACAGCAGAGTATGTTCTGTGATCTGTGGTAGAGCACAGTGATTAGAGCTGATAACAGATATCATGTGTTTGAAATAGTTAAGAGTAGAGTTGTGAGTGTGCTCATGCACATCTGTGTATACATGTATGCAGGTGCAGATGAACATGTGTGTATATGTGTATGCATGTGTGTAGGCTAGAGGTCAACATTGGGTGTGTTGCTTAATTGCTCTTCTCCTTTTTCTTTTTTGCACTCTTATTTATGTCACGTGTGCTTATGCAGTTCTTGCCAAAGTGTATGTGTGCAGGCCAGAGGACAATGTATGGGAGCCTGTTCTTTTCTTCCACCCTGTGGGTCCCAGGGCTCGAACTCAGGTCCTCAGGCTTGGCAGCAAACACCTTACTTACTGTGCCATCTTATTGGCATAGTCACCTTATGTTTTAGGACAGTCTCTCACTGAACCTGGGGCTTACCGATTTGGCTAGACAGTCTGGCTGGCAAGCCACAGGGATGCTCCTGTCTCTGCCTTCCCAGAGCTAAGGCACCAGTATGCTGCTATGCCTGGCTTAATTTTCCTTTTCATGGTACTGGGGGCTGAACTTAGATCCTCATGTCTGTGTAGTAAGCACTGTTGATTGTAGCATGAATTTAAAAGTTCTTATTAATAAAATCAAACCTGAGCCAGGTATTGGGGTGAACACTGGAAGATCAGAGAACCAGAACAAGCCACAGCTAACCTCACCTGGCCAACTTCTCAGCTGGTCTTGTTTCCTCAGACTGGAAGCTTCTGTGTCCTCATCCCAATGGCTCTCAGCTGAACTGCTGCTCGAAAGCCTGAAGCTTAACCAGGTAAAAGCTTAATCAGCCAAATGCTTCTAGTTCCTGGCCCTCACGTCTTATATATCTTTCTGCCTTCTACCATCACTCCCTGGGATTAAAGGCATGAGTCATCATGCCTGGCTGTATCTTCGAACACATGGATTTCTGCCTAGCTCTGCCTCCCAAGTGCTGGGATTAAAGGCGTGTGCTACCACTGCCTATCCTCTATGTTTAATATTGTGGCTGTTCTGTCTCTGACCCCAGATAAGTTTATTAGGGTGTAAAATATTTCGGGGAACACAATACCACCACAGTTGATGAAGACATCTTCCAGGCCATGTAAGAATAGATTTTAGCTGTTCTTGGGAGTGTGGATGATACATATTACAAGTAGTTTGATGTAGCTAATCCATAATATATATTATGTATATAGTATATAGCATAATATATATAGCAAAATATCATAGTAATTTATATTATTGAGATATTCAACTTGTACTTGTCAATTAAAAAAGAAGTGCAAAGTACAGAAGGAATAATAAAGTCTCTTTATCCGCCTCCAGGAATAGGATGCAGCAAACTTTCAAATATGCATAAATTTTACTCTGTACCCTTAAAGTGCTTAGCCTAATTCAGAGTAACACGGTCCCAACAACTTGCATTTCATCTGAATGCAGAATTTATTTGCTGAAGTTGCAAAAAAAAAAAAAAGATTCTTTTAAGATGTTCTGCAGCATCAGATCCCTGTAGGATCCAAGAATCAAACTCAAGAGAGCGAGCACAAGTGGATGCTTCATTCCAACAGGACCTGCGGGGGTCAGCGTCTCTTCAGAAAGAAGGTTAAAATTTCAGTGTGCATCCAGAGACGTGTTCCTGTTTCTAATCTTCATGTTTAAAAACATGTATATCGTGGGGGGGGAAAGAATGCTTCACGGCCTTATCAAGTAGGGCATAGCAAAATTGCAAATTGGTTTGTGATTTATTGCACCTCTGGCGGCACTCTGAAGGGTGTAGTGAAATTAACTTTTGGTGCAGACAGTAGCTGTTGGCACAGCGTGACTAAAGCAAGACCTAGTGAGTAGTAGGAGAGGTCGCAGATGAGTAAGGGCAGAAACGGAAAACTTCTACCAGCTCGGACAGCACAAATGAGTGTTGTGAGGCTCTGCTAACATTTGCAGTGGCTCTTTGTGGCTACTGGGAACCCAGTCACAGAAGGCTCTGCAGGTCCCTCTCTGTTCTGCCCTCTGGCCACCTGGACCTGGGAAAGCCCATCTGATACAAGGGTCTCTTTGTCTGTTGACAAGCTAGGGCTGCCACTGGTTGGTAAGCAAAGTGAGTTGACCAGAAGTCCAGATTACAGTTGCACAAGACCGTATTGTTGCAGCCGTGGAGCTGGGAGACATATTTTTGGCGAACAGGACACATTGAACACCCACAGGAGCTTGGGGTTGTGGACATTGCCCATGGTTAGGGAAAACATTTGATAGCAGGGGTTTCTGGAAATTCCCATGTGGTGAACAAGGATGTGCAGTGTAATTTTGGTTTCATATTAAAATTCCTTGAAGCGGGTCCTAGGTCTGTATTGGATTCTCAGATCTTTTCCTTTAATGAAATTCCAAATACAACACTTTAACATTAGGATTGCATTGCAGTAATATAAACCAAAAAAGGGGCTAATTTACATTTGTGCCCACACCATTAATGTAAATTGGTTATTAGCTGTTTCTGCTAAAGAGCAGCAATATAAAACATAAAGGTGGTTTTATTAACTGCATCCTGCCCTCTGAAATGTGCTGTGCGCGGGGTTTACAATCAGTGATTCCCCCTGCATGCCAAAAAGACATTTACTCTGCCTAATTAACATATTTATTAACAAATTACTGCCCCCTTTCTGCATTTTGCATTTTATAACACATCACCACAACAAAGTTAATAAGACAGTCGTGCATCTGCTCTTGTGATTCTACTGGAATATCGCACTGGCCTTTTTTGTCTCTCCTTGCTTTCATGTATCTTGAGGTAGGGGTAATTAAAGAAAGATGGTGTTTGCAAACAACAAGGATGCAGGGATAATGAGGATGTAGGTGTCTTGGCCATCATGTCCTTTTCACAAGACTATGGGCAGGTATGAGCAGAGATGTAGAGGGAGAGGGACCACATAATTCAGCTTCGTCCTACCCATCATCTCCTTCAGACTAGCCTGGTAAGATGTCACAGTGTCGTTTTTTACACTGACTGCTTGAGGACACAGAAATCTTATGTAAGATGTCAAGAGCAGGAGGAAGGGAGAATAGTTTTTTTGAGACATTAAGAGAAAACAGATTTAAGTATATGTTTGTTATTAAAAGGCTTCTAGAACTGAGTTTTTAACTTTCACAGTACTGATACCTAATGCTCAGGCATCGGAATGGAATAGAACTCTCGAGAAGTGTGTCCCAGGAGATCCTGAGACACAGTTGAAGTATTGATTACCTCTCTCGAGGAAGTCTAAGTTCTTTCAAAATGCAGCAAACGCTTCCTTTTTTCGTTTATTTTAAAAAGGACACCACCTAACTGAAAGCATGTAAAAATTTAACATTTATTCCTAAGATTAAGATGAAGAAAAGTGAACTTAGTTTGATAATGTGGTATACAATTTCTTATGAAGCCTAACTGGAGTCTGTACCTGAGGGCCATTGATGAGCCTTATATGGCTCCACTTTATATTTAACCCTTAGCACTCATGAATCTGATTGGGATGGCTGCTTCCAATAACCCTGTTGGTCATAATGGCTTTCCAGCTGAGCACTCTCCTAATGCCCCTTTTCTCCAGTTCTGTGCTTGTGTCTAATTTCTTGCCTATGCAGGTAATATTTCCTTGCAAATGGCTTGAAATGCCACAAGGGTCCATTTGTCCACAAGGGTCCATTGCCATTTGGAAAGAACTGGTGGTTGAAAGGACCCCTCTGACATCGACACTGGGATACTGAGACATCTTGGTGGTAGCACCGCCACTGAGCACACTGATTTTAATTGACAGAGGAAACACCTCAGACATTTCATCATGTCTTTGTGTTGGGAACATTCCAAGTTCTCTCTGTTCGATACGTTGGAAATTTAGTTGTTTATTATCAAACATAGCTACTTTACTATGCTGCGGAACATTAAAGCTTTTTGTCATTATAAAGAAGGAATGAAAGACAAAAGGTGATTTCTCCTCTCCTTGTATCCACCGTCTCCTCTTTTTTTCTTTCCTCCTTCATACTTTATCTTTAAGATCAACTTTTTAGCTTCCACATGGAAGTGAGAGCATTTAATATTGTTTTTCTGTGATGGACTTATTTTACTTAGAATGGTGTTATCCAGTTCCATGCATGTAGCATATAGAAGGATTTCACCTTTAATGACTGAACAATGCTTCGCCATGTGGACACACCATTTTGTCTGTTTACTCACGGATGAGTCCTTAGTAGATCCCCTATCTTGACTAGTCTGAAAAGGGCTCTAATAAACATGAATCTAGATCTCTCTTTAACATTCTTATCATGCCACCTGGGGATAAATATGCAATAGCAGGGTTGTTGGGTCGTATGGTACCTCCAGTTCCAGGTTTTTGAGGATCTTCTGTACCATTTTGCATACTGGGTGCTCTATTTTACACTCCTACCAGCAGTGTATAGGAGACTTCCCCTCTCCCTACATCCTCACCAGCACTTACTATTTTTCATCTTTTTCCCCCACTTCCCCTGAAGGGCTCTCACTATGTAGTTCTGGATGGCCTGAAGCTCACGATGTAGACCAGGCTGGCCTTAAACTCACAGAGATCCGCCTGCCTCTGCCTCTGGAGTGCTGGCCTGCCTCTGATTCCTGGGTGCAGAGATTGAGGCAGGTTCCACCATTCATACTGGAATGAGATGTCAGCTACTGTGGCTTGGTGAATATTTTTGTCATACGTCTGTATTCATAGGTAACCATGGTCTGGGACACGGCCCAGGTTAAAACCCACAGTCCCATCTCCTCATTCTGCCTCCGTGACTCTCTACTCATGGCTTTCCAGGGCTTCTTAGTTCTGAGGTGGATCCAGTTGAGATGTCCCAAACTCACGTGATGGGTCTGTACTGACTCCACAACACGCAGGTACCGTTAAAAATGTTGATTCCTTTATGCTTTAAGAGTAAAATTAAGATAAGGATTATGTTTATTTCTTAAGAACCAATGATACCTCCAGGCCTTCAGAAGATACTATTTTTGTGTTCCCATTTCTAGACAAAAAGGACTCTCTGGAGTACTTGCTGGTTATCCATGGGTGTCTTTTTCTCCCTCCCTCCTTTGCTACATATTTGTGGCCATGTCAGGAAAGCCCTGAGGAAAGTCCATCCAGCCTTATTAGGAAGTAAATTCTTAGCTGTCAGGTCATAGGCAGTGCCACAGTGCTAGTTTCTTTCTGTTCTGGTTGTCTTGACATACACTGATATATACAATAGCATTAATAAGCAACAGCCCATGTCAATTTAGCACTGTAACTCTGGGCTCAAAATTAAGTCAGTTAATTTTAATGCTGAATATTAAGGAAAACAAAGTAGCCATAAGGCAGGTTTACTAGCTTGGGATGAGTTCATAGGCTCTCTGAAGGTCTGGCTGACCTTTAATATGTTTGTGAACCTCTTGGAATTTGATGAAAAAATTCAAGTGCTTTTGCATACGTTTCATGAGAACCCTCCATCACATTCTCCAAGTTACTTGTGGCCATGAGCAGATTAATGACTACTATTGATTTTAGGTTTTAGGATGATAAGAAATGAGGGTAATAACTGGGCAGGGTGGAGCTTTTCAGTATAAGCTTTTAAGAACAAGTATTTATAGCCATCATAGATGTGCTAAATTACAGAGATCTGGCTTTCCAGTTTCAAAGCTCTTTGGACTCTTGTTCTTGGTGTCATGTCATGCTATTCAGAATGTGGACACGCCAGAGCCCATGGATGTTGGGTCTACAGAGAAGCAATGAAGTATCGTAGAACCAGATAACTGCACGGAAGCCGAGAGGCTGTCTTGAAGGATGGAGAAGCTGCCCAGACTGACATTCTCATTCGTGGGAGTGAGTTTTTAGAGAAAGCAAGCAGTGACGACTTCATTCCTCTGAAATAATGGACTCCAGGGTTCTCTGAAGAAATATAGAGCCACATGGTGCTCCATCAATTTCATTACTCTTATTACCATCACTCTGATTTTAATTCGATTTAAAATTTTTATTGGTACTAATTGTAGCAGTTATGAATGTTGATGTTATTTTCTGCCATTTCTAATTTCTATAAAGAGCACAGATCTTTGCTTCTTAATAATTGAAAATGAGTCCTTAATGGATTCATGCATTCATATGGAATTCCAATCTGTGGCTTTGACATTATAGGCTAGCATACAGATTCTCAACTCTTTTTAAAATGATCTAAACCCAGTAAGGTTCTGTATGTATGTGTTAATAATCAGTTTTATTTCATTATGAGGGAAAATAAGCCAATTTAGCAAAAACAATTGAAATAAATGTATTTTGTATGCAAAAATAAGAATAGTATTTGAGTGTATTTTTGCTATTTGCTTTTGGTAAAGTTTTTTTTTCTCCTATTTGCATTACTGCCAGATGGGGAACTCTGTAGAAATGGGCGGGGTGTGTGTTCCACTGTATACCAGGTGGTCTATAAGGATGAAAGAGTTAAAACACACTAGGTCCCTTATTAAATAGACTATTATATGTAGAGGACCTGCACAAACACTCAGGAAAAGCCTTGCAAGAGAATGTTCCACTGTACTCTGTGTTATGGTCACCATATGTAAAAGCTAATTTTAAATATCAAAACTGTAATTATAAAAGACCACTTCCCTGAAGGGAAGGTCATTTGGGGAAGGCAGAAGGGTGGCTGCTTTTGGAATGACACACAGGGTCTAGAGAGTGGGTATGTGGCCTCTGGAGGATCATATCTTGGGGGAACCACTGTGTCCCGGGGGGAAAAAAAAATCTCAAATTAAATTTGTTTTTCTAATTTTAACTTAGAACATGGTCCTGGGATAGAGTACATCAAAAGAGAGACCTCAAATTTTGAAAACAACAAAATCACACCACCACTCTGGCTCAGGGACAGGGAGAGAAGGAGCCCCCTGGATGGTATAAGTATGTGGTGTACCCACTGGTGTTGGTTCAGGAATGGTTATCGGGGTCTATAGACAGCTCTTCTATTATTGAAGCTGTTGGGTCAGACTCCTTGATGATCTGTCAGATCTGGTGCATTTTCTTCACTTATTTCCCCTAGCATCTTGGTTTTAAAGTAAATGTCACTACCTACCTTGGTTCTACTAAGGAAAAGCCAGCAGACGCAGGAGGGAATGTAGCCTGTGCTTGTAGATGTGGGTCAGCATGGCTGCATTCAATTGGTCCATGCCTGTGCTGCGTGCTCATGTGCTATGTGTTCAAGATAATAGGTAAGGCAGAACAGGTGGGTTGGTTTCTTTTCGCTTTAAGATAAGATTTCTCTGTGTTGTCCAGGTTGACTTTGAACTTTTGAGCTCAAACGATTCTCTAGCCTCATCTTCCCAGTAGCTGGAACTCCAGGCATTGTGCCACCACATCATGTTTAGTACCAGGTTTCTGATGTAGGATTGAAAGGCTTTGGGCAAAATTATCAAACTGGACCATTTAGGATTTGCTCATGAATTTGTTCAAGTATTAGAAGAACTAAGATAATGCGAGTCAGTCCTTAAAGGAGGCTGGTCTTATGTTACCATAGAAGCTGCTGTAATTCTTGATTGAATGTGTTGTTATTTCAGTACTATTTTTAATAATTGGAAAAAAATTGAAATTAGAATATAATCACGTCATTTCTTTCTTTCCTTTTTCTCCCTCCAGCTACGCCCATGTTCACATCCATTGCTCTTTCTCGAATTCACTGCCTCTTCTTCCTTAATTGTTTACACACACACACACACACACACACACACACACACACACACACACACACACACTCACTCACTCACTCCTAAGTATATAAATACAATCTGCTCAGCCTGCATGCAATTGTTTGCATGCATATCACTTCAGGGCTGGCCATTTGGTATTGGATAACCAGCTGGGTGGCTCTTCCTTGGGAAAGACTTTCTCTCCCACTCTCAGTGTTCCTTAGTTGACTGTAGTTCTTTATCTAGGGGTGGGGCCCCATAACAGTTCCCCTTCCATGTTAGCATGTCTGCTGGTGTTGGCATTGTTCAGGTCCTGTTTAGGCAGCCATGTTGTTGAGACTCATGGGTGTGACTTCATGATATTTCTAGAGGATACTCCCTCACAGCAGACATCCTGTTCTTCTGGCTTTTACGATGTTTCTGCTTTCTCTTCTATGGTGTTCCCTGAGCCTTAGTTACAGGACTTGTGTTGGAGATGTGTAAGCTGGGGTTGGGCACCATATGAACACTTGTTCTCTGTATTTTGATTGGTTGTAGTTTTCTATAGTGGTCTCTGTTGGATGCTAAGAGAAGTTTCTTTGATGCACCATTTTTTATTGTGGAGGGTATGTAACAATTACCTAAATTATTCTATTATTAATAAAAAGCTCAGGAGTCAGATATGGGGATGAAACCTAATTGATCAGAGAAGTGGCGGAGAAGCAACCAATGACCTCCTCTCTGTCTCCTTCCTCGACCCAAAAGGCCACTCATCCATCTAAGACCCTCCCTAGTACTTCCTGTGTCTCTCTATATGTCCTTGGTCCTCCAAAACCTCTATGGCCAATTTTGGTCAGCTAATAGCTAGCTCCACCTTCTGATTCAAGGTAAACTTTATTGGAACAGTGGAGTGGCAGTGTGAACAATCCTTCGGCAAGAGGGAAGGGTTTATTTGGTTTATACTTCCATATCAGTGTTTATCATAGAATGAAGTCAGGACAGGAACTCAAACAGGGCAGGAATCTGGAGGCAGGAGCTGTTGCAGAGGCCATGGAGCAGTGCTGCTTACTGTGGTGCTTAGCATGGCTTGCTCAACCTGCTTTCTTATATAACCCAGGACCACCAGCCCAGGGATGGCACCACCCCCAATAGGCAGGGCCTTCCTGTTGTAGGAGAATTCTTCACACTGCTGTTCGGAAACTGCCAATAAAATTAAACCTTAATTCTGAGGGCGGAGTCCATGTTCAGCTGGCTAAAACAAACCATAGAGTTCTTGGTGGACTAAAATGAGGAGAGAGACACACAGGGAGGAAGAAGGGGCTTAAAAAGATTCGTGGGTTTTTCAGTCTGGAAGACAAGGAGAGGTGGGTCACTCCTCTGCTGTTCTTTGGATTAACCAGGTTCTTAATCTCAGTTTCTGACTCCTGAATTCTTATTATTACCAGAACAATTAGGGTAAATACTTACCTTCCCACATCAATCATTAAGAAAATGCCCTCAAGGCTTGCTACAACCAGATCCTTTTTTTTTCTTTTTTAAAATTTATTTATTTATTTATTCTTTGCTCATATATTACACCCCAAATGGAGTTCCCTTTCTCTCCTCTCCTTCCAGCCCCTCCCCCACCTCCCCTCAGAAAAGAGCAGGCCCCCTCCCCAGGGATATCACCCAAACATGGCATAGCAAGTTACAATAAGCATAGGCACATACCCTCACATCAAAGCTGGATTAGACAACCCAGTAGGAAGAAAAGGGTCCCAAGAGAAGATGAAGTAGTCAGAGACACCCCCACTCCCCCTGTTAGGAGTCCCACAAAAGCCCCATGCTAAACAACAACCAGAACATATATTGATATACCATTTTTAATGGAGGTGGAATAAGATGTTTTATTGGGGCATGGGTAGTGTTTTCCCTCCAGTCTTTAACTGATCTTACATTCTAACAGGAGGCTGAGTCCATCTCCTGTTCCTTTGTTTCAGGGAAGGTTGTAGGTATCATTCCCTCTCTTTTTGTATTGTTACATTTGGTAAAAATTTTAGTGTGTGTGTGCGTGTGCATGCATGCTCTCAAATGCATATTTGCATGAGTGTATGGTACACCTTGGGAGGTCAGAAGATAACCCACAGGAGTCAGCTCTTTCCTTCAGCTATGTAGATCCCTGGGATTGAACTGAGGATGTTAGGCTTGGCAACAAGCTTCCCTACTGCTGAGCTATCTCACTGTCCCATATCCTTGCATTTTCATGAAATTCTAAACGATGACTACTGGAGAGAAGACCCAGAGGGAACAGGGACTAGGAAGAGGTTGGTGGATGCTGGACCTGCATCAGATGGGACATGGCAGCTGCTCCTTAAGGAGGGTAGCTGCTCCAGATGCTAGGTAGAATCATGCAGACAGAGGCTCTTGGAACACAATAAGGTATTTCATCTGTCTGGCTGCAGATTTCAGGATACCATGCATGGAAGAGATGCCCTGAGGCTGGAGACAGTAGCATCTCGACAGTCACTAACTTGTATGAGGGGAAGAAGGATACTGAGGAGAGGTCTTGGTGCAGTACCAGGAAGAGAAGATCGTGCTCAACTGAGACAGGTTTTGGCCAGTGCATTAGGATGTATCCTAGGGGTTAGGCTAAATTCAATTTCAGCAAAATGATGACACTGGCCTTTTTTTTTGGGTGTGGCTTATTTTGGCTAAAATTTATATCAACAAGTTAAATATCCCTTATCTGAAATGCTTAGGACCAAAAGTGTCTCCAATTTTGAATATTTTTCAGAATTTAGAATGTTTGCATCTGCATAATGAAATATTTGGGGGACTATAAATACAGGATCACTTGCATTTCATATTCACCTTATATATTGGATGAAAGCAATTATATGTACATTTTTAGTGTGCTTTGCTTTTGACTGTGACTTGTCATATGAAGTCAGGTATGGAACTTTATACTTGTGGACCATGACACTGAAAACTTGCAGATTTGGGGCATTTTGTTTTTATTTTTAATTATGAATTCTCATCACAAAGCTATTTATATATGGACTTCAAGAGAATGAAAAAAATCATACTTGACCTGGGAGGATAACATGAAAGGATTCCTTAAGGATCTGACACCTGGGAGAATTACCAAACATGATCAAGGGCTGCCTGTGCAGAGGGCTAGGACAGGACTCCAGGCAGATGGGTCAGCATAGATTGAGCAGTGCCTGAGACCTGGGGCTTTTTCTGCACGGAGAACTTGAGGCAGACAGGTCAGCATAGATTGAACAGTGCCTGAGACCTGGGGCTGTCTCTGTGGGGAGAACTCAAGGCAGACAGGACAGCATAGACTGAGCAGTGCCTGAGATTGGTAGGTAATTTAGAGCTGCAGCAGCGAGGCTACGCAGATGTTCTTCTAGAATTGTGGTGTTGTGCTTGTCTTCTATTGCTGCTGTAAAGAAGTTACCATAAATCAGTACCTATGATAATACAGACCTATTATGCTGTAACTCTGGAGGTCAGAAGTTCAAAACAGGCTTCACTGGGCTAAAACAGAGGCACCAGTAGGGCTGTGTTTGCTATGGAGAATCTGGAGGAAAACC